GGCGCTGCCACCGGCCCCCGGCCCCCGGCTCAGCAGCAGCGTCCAGCGGCGCCACGAGAAGATGGCCAACCTCAACAACATCATCCACCGCCTGGAGCGGGCCGCCAACCGCGAGGAGGCCCTGGAGTGGGAGTTCTGAGCACCCCTTCCACCACCCCAAATATATATATACACCCCCACATATATATATATATTTTGTTAAATGCAGCACGCGCCAAGAGGCCCCAGGCGGCCGGTGCCACGGAGGGGAACGCCCGTGGAGAGGTGGGGGGGCTTCCGCTATGAAGCTGCCTCCCCTGCTTTGTTTTAAATGTGAAAAATTGGGAACAATTTTAGAAAAGAAAAAAAGAAAAAAAAACCCACCACAAACAAAAAATATTTATAGACCTCTTTTAGATATTTTAATAAAAGGATACTTTGGAATTTATTAACAGCTTAAGCTGCTTTGATATTAAAGATAGCTATAAAATCAAGATGATGTAGCAGTCGTGTCATTAAATGTACACTGAAGTCTTGTAGTTTGCCACTGGATGAGATTAAAAAACAAACAAAAAAAAAATACCCACAGAAAAGACTTATTGAGCAAAGCCATCGAGAAGCACTATGAGACTGACCAAATGTAATAAACTCAACGCCGAGCGGTTTCCACCTCTGTCTGTAAGACACTGCATCGCTTCTGCCCCGGCCAGAGACTGCGTCATAGTCCCTGAAGACTCTAAAGCGAAACCCCTTGATGCCATCGAGTATGTATTTAGTTCTGGTGGTTTATGTTTTTTGAAACCTTTGTAACGCGGAATGTCCCGTGCGGTTGTCTATGTTGTAGAAATGTCTGCCATAGCCTTCTGGAACAAGATGTAGCATGGCCCGAATGCCGTCCCTCGCGCTTCTTCCAGCCGGCGGCAACCCGCCCGCTTCCGCCTCCTGCCAGCTCCCCGAGGACGAGAAGAAATACTGCGGAAGCAGAGGAAGCGACTGGTGTCTGCCGCTTTGGGAGTGAGATGGAAAGAGGTACCTGGGTGTGATGCTCGGGGATGGCTCCGGCTTGCTGGGGATGGGCACCCATGGGATCCTGGTTCCCCCTGTCTGCCTGGGAAAGGAAAAGCCTCTGAGCTCTGCACCTGGGGTTCAGTGCTTCTGATGAGCACCCAAAAATCATCAGCTGCTCACTTGGGGGGGTGAGCCTTGCTGGGGGCTGCTCCCAGCATGGCAACCAGCGCCTGTGGCTGAAGCACTTTGTTTTTAGGGAGAGCACCCGGGCGGGAGGAGCATGCCCTCGCCGCGGCTGGGTCTCGGGGCAGTGGCTGCAGAGCGAGCCCCGGGCTGTCGCCCCAGGCTGCTCTCTGAATTGGGCAAACTCAGGCCTGAACTGGGCAAACTCAGGCCTGAACTGGGCAAAGAACCATCAGGCTTGTTGGGGCTGACCCCACGCAAAGGCGCAGGAGCTCAGCAATGGCACCATCCTGGCACGCTCCTTGCCACCTCCCCGACCCCACCGCTGCCTAACTAACGAACTCTGCTAACGAGCTGCCTTTAAACAACGTGGGGTGGGCCATGTGTCCGCGTGCTCTGTCCCCTGCCCGCATGGCATCAGCCATCACCCACGAGGACCGCGGTTGGGAGGGCTCCCCTGCCAGGCTCCGAGGCTATGCATTGACTTAATTTTCCACTGTATACATTTTTATCAGAATAGAAGGTATTTTTATATTTGGGTGGTAGTCGATGAGTGATGCTAAAAGCAGCTCTGCGAAGGCACGGCTCTCCTTGCCCACGTACCCTGCCCCAGCTTGCCCACGGCCACTCTGTTCCCTGCCACCGCGCTGCAGAAGGTCGAGGTGCGATCCATGACTGCTCTTCTCCGTCGTGTGCTAGCGGGAGCTTTAGTGGAACGGGATTTGAGGAAGCACTTAGGGTAGTCTTGAACACAGCAATCCTGTTGTATTAAAGCTAGCGGGACATACCAGTCACGTTTTTGTTAGGCTCATGTACTGTACTTCAAAAGTTTCTATGAGATCGATGAACTTTGTTTAACAATTTTGGAAGGAACAAGTTCTGTAAAGAGCCACTAAATACAGAAGTTGGATACGACTCTGGCTTTGGGGTGTGTTTTGTCCGGAGGCGGCCGGAACGGGAGCTTCTCGCCTTCTCCCGGCGCCTGGGTTGGTGTTGGCTCCCTTGGAAGTCACAGCTTTGGGTTTGTGGCAAGAGCTCTCGCTGCTCGTAAACATCTCATGGTGATTAGGGGAAGAAAAAGAGGGTGTTAGATGGGGTTAGTCTAGCTCAGGGTGCCATCCTGCCCCCAGGGTAACTCAGCATCCTCCGGTGTGAGGTTTGGTTCAGCGTTGCCCGATGGCTCCGCACCCCGGCACGGCTCAGAGCCGGCCATGGCCGGGCGAGTTTGCAGCTCCGACACAAGGCAGGGGTGTTTGCGTTTGATGCATTAGTAAATCCATATGTTGCGTATCTGTTTAAGCTTGTTTGTCGGCTAACATGTTGGGAAGGATTTATTTTTAATGAATATCTGAACGTCTGGAGATGCTGGGCCGGCTGCCATGGAAACTGGAATCTTCCTCTGCAGGCGAGTGATGGGGCCACATTAACCATCTGGATGCTGCGGGTGTAGCTGCACCCCGGCTGCCCTCGGCGGCACCGCTCCAAATGCCGAAACGTGTAGTGGGGTGCTGGGCCAGGAGCAGGGCTCCATGCCCTGCAGCGCTCTCAGTGAGTGACCCTGGCTGGCTTTGTGCCTCAGTTTCCCCAAGAGACATCCCCCCAAACCTGCTGCACGCTCCTGTGTTAGCAAGAAGCTGGAGCTGTTCATGCAGGTGGGGTGTCGCGGGCAGGGACATGTTGGCTATTGCATCCCCCTGCAAGGGGATGGGGATTTTGTCCCTGGCTAAGACCCCTGGGCAGAAGGCTGGGAATGTCCCACCAAGGGCACAGGGCCACCTGACCGGGGCGCCCAAACCTGGGTGGCATCACATGGTGCTGCCTGTAACCTGGGATTTGGAGGGATGGTTGTAGCACCCCATTGAGTCTGTAATGCACCAGCAACTCATAGCAGGGCACCCAGTGCCATTTCCACCGGTGAAACCATGGGAGGGGTTGTGCTCCCAATCAGTCTCCCAGCTCTTTTTTCCAATGCCCAAACCCCCGCGTTGGTCATCTCTGCCTGTTCAAACCACCAGGGAGGGCAGAACCATGGGACCACCATGGCACTGTGTGCCCTGATGTCCCCAGGGTGGCACCATCCCATCCCATCCCATCCCAATCCCTCCTTGCAGGCAGATGTGGGGCTCCAGGACACTGCAACCGGCGCTGGCTGTGTCTCACTTGGGTGACACGGTCCCTGCCCAGCCCCATGGACACAGTGGGGACAAGAGGAGGATTAAAATGGAGGATTATTTCCCACCTGGGCCCCCTCCCCAGGGCCTTAAAGGCACAAGCAAGATGTGGGGCCAGGAGGGAATTTCTGAAACAACTTTTATTGTAGCAAAACCTTGTGCCTGTCCCAAGGGGGCAAAGGGAGCCAGAGCCACCCGCCCCAAACCCAGGGCACCCTGACTGCTCCTCCCAGATCTGGGGTGGGTCACCCCACCTCCAGAGCAGCAGCTTTAGTGTCGATATAAACCATTAGGGAAATAAAAACCCCGGCACGAGACATTGGCTTTGCT